AATATATCGTAGTGATTTCGTTGAATAGGGTTCAAAGAACCTCAAACCGACTTTGATACGAAAAGTATTGCGAGAGAAGTCTCGGAAATGGAGAGTTATGCCTCTTTTTTGGATGTTCAAGATGAGAGGGAAAAACATGTATTCATGTTCCTGGTGAAAAATGGTGGTTGTATTAGTTTAGATAAATTTAAAGAAAAATACTCCCCTCTTTCTGATGATTTTGATAATTGGCTCTTGAAGGGAAAGAAAATATTGTCATTCTATAAGATAAAGGACCGTATAATCCATATCCTACCTTTCTTGAGAGATGCCACTTTTTGTACGGATCATATTAATAACGTGACGAGATGTGAACTTGAAGATTGCAAACGGTTTCATGTTTGCAGGTACTATCTGAATAGTTACTGCAATTATGGCGAGAGGTGCAGAAATGGCCACACGTTCACTGTCGGTAATAATAGGGAAATCAAACGCAAACTCGGCCTGAATGGCTTTAGCGATGGTGATATTCTTACCATACTGAAATGTAGGTATCCTCAAGTATGTCCAGCGGACCACTGCGAATCCGATGTTCCCGACGAATGCCCATATTTACATATCTGTTACTTTTTTACTCAAGGTAAATGCAAAGATCCGTCATGTACAAGAGGTCACTCTCTGGAAGATCCTCACAACAAATGGGTTTTGTCTGTGTATGGTATGGAAGAATGGCCTAGTCAAAGACCCGAGATCTTTAAGGCTGCCATTACTCTGCGAAGAAAACGTGAACCGGCTTCTAGTCCTTTCAGCTCCATCCCGGAAGGAAATGGAAGTGAAACCGGAAACAGTCTCCTTGAGGGACTGGTAAAACAAATGAAAGAAGAAAAACAAAAAGAAGAAGAAATAGACGAAGATTAAGTGACAGCTCAGAATAAAATATTTGAAAGAATGTGAAAGCCAATAGCAGATAAATTCTAAATAATTCCGAACATTATCCTTTGCTTATTTGAAGCATCAGCTCCGATTTTTAAGTCTGTATTTTAGATGATATTAACTCCAAAATATCCTCTCCCAATTTAAAAAAAAGTCAAATTTGACTTGAATTGCAGGTCAGTCATCCTACAAAAACATGCCCAGTTAATATTTTTTATATCGCTTACAAATTAACTTGGATTTTCAGTAAGGCGTGACATTGATTCTCGACGCTACGTACAACAGACTGAAATTTACACTTCCTTACATTCATTGTTGTAATAAACATTGGATAGAAATTCGGACGAATGTCAACAAGTGTAGTTAGAATCCAATGATAGCGTTTCGTGTAGCAAAGAGTTGGGACTTAAGTCATCTCATCGCTGTCAACAACAATTTAAGGTTGTTGATGTCATTAATGTCTTAACCATTGAGAATCTAGGAAACCATTTGAGAGACACTAATTGTGTAGCTTTTGAAAATGCCACGCCTATCTTATTGTTGTCGGAAACAAATTGAAACTGGAGAGGGGGGCTAAGTGAAAAAAAAGAACCTACAAAAAAATAGATTGATAAGCAAAATAGAAAAATGTATCCATTGTCCAAACAGGAAAATCCTATTTCGTGGGGGAGGGGGGTTGACCTTCTTTCAGTGCTTTTTTTTTTTTTTTACAAATACTACCGCTTACCCCTTTTTTTGACCTAAACTGCAACGTGGCTTTTGAAAGTGTTTGGGGGGGGATAGGAAGGGTGGAGGTTTGAATAACCTATACCCCCAATGTCCAAAGCCTATATTATGTCTATCTTTGCAAAAAAGTGGGGGCTAAGCCTTTTTAACTCCCCACCCACCAGTTCCGAGGCCTATGTAACTGAAAGTCCAAGGATAACAGAGAATTGTACTACATGTACATGTATATGCACATGATTTCACAAATTACCATATACATGTACACCATCTCAAAGAATACCATAATAAAGAAAGTTACAGGAACATGGATGTCAACCAATCAGAAATCAGCACACGTGCTTGGTGTCTTGATATTCATTTCTGATATTTGAATAATGTAGGAACTTATATTATTATGTCGACCCGAACGAAGTCGGGGACAACATATTGCGATTGTACGCATGTTTTTGTTGTCCAGGCTGTTTCTCGGAGATGACTGGGATAATATTCCTGAAACTTTCCTCAAAGGACGATCACTGGTTGTAGTGGTGTTCATGTGTTGTGTGGTCATTCAGTTTCAAAATGGCTACCGTTGCCATGGAAACCTGCAAAAAGCGACGAATTTTGTCCGCGAGTGTTCTCTCTGGTCCCTTGAACATTCGTCATGGATTTTTTTTTTATTTTAGTGATTAGTAATTGTAGTTGTGCGATTCACATTTAAAATTTTCAAATAATCCATTATTGCAATGGAAACCAAGGGAAAGTGAAAATTCTTTAACTTTGATTTTTAAATGTTAATCAAAGTATTGAAAGGACTGATACGAATTAATGTTGTCCAAGCTTAGCTAATGAGTATTGTTTTGGTGATACAAACAAATGAAAGTCTTGTCCGAAATTATCAATGGTTGCCATGGTAATACTAATAGGGGAACAGTTTGGGGCGACATACGCTATTGCTTGCCAAAGCAGACTTTCTAGTTTACAAATACTCTTAATTTCATCTTCCTTTAAAAACTAAGAAATTTATAAATACTAGCACGTGTGCTTGTGCGTATTTTGTAGAATATTCACATATATAATCTTATTGTGCTAATACCAGTGTCTTAAAGTTCAAAGAATTGTGTCGAATAAGTATATGATAGATAAACAACATATAGAGTTTTAGCCAATCAGCACATTTGAATGCATGTCCTTGCATTTTAAAATTTCGATATAAGCGTATTGTAGTAACCCATGATACCTATCTATATTTGAATTTCATCCTTTTTGTTGAAAACCTAGGAAGTTATAGCCATTTAAAGTTTCAGCTAGTCATCTTGCAGCACGCATGCACGCATATGCTTTCAAGAATTTCCATATAAACGTCTTGTAGAAGCTAACGATATATACTTTTATCCAAATTTCAAAGTATTTTGTCAATTAACAAGGAAGATATTGAAATTTTATTTTGCAGCCAATCAGAGGAAAGTGCATGTGCATGCGCGTGAATTTATATGTACGCTTATTTGATCATGTCATTTTTCTACACTACTAAATAAATATATTTTTTGTTTTAAGTTTAAAGACATTTCATTAAAAATGTAAAAGTTATAGCAATAGTAAGTATATCAGTCATTTCGCTACGTGCAAGCGCACGCACGTGCATGCATGTGTGAGCAAAATGACCTTCGTTCCGTACATAAACATGCATTTTTCAAAAAAAAATTCATCAAAATCGAACGAGTAGTTTCCGAGAACACAAAAAAATGTGGACAAAAAAAAAATGTAACAGAGAAGAAGGAAGGCTGAAAACTAAAGATAACGATCGACCCCCTCCGCCCACCTCCAAAAGACCTAAGCAATACAAATCTGTAAGCAAGGCACAAAACACGGACCCCTTGAAATTTCAGGATGTGATAAGGTGCCTAGGAGGAGTAACCACCCCCTGTCGGTCTGCCACAACCTATATAACTAGCTTATTTATTGATCTGGTAGGACGGGAATACATATATTTTCTGTACTCAAAATTAGTATACCGGTAAAACAAAGGGTTAATCATTTTAATTTGGAATAAAATGTCAGTATAAGCTATTAATATGAAATAAATTCATAGAAACAAATATCATTCTACATGCACTTTTACATTTAGATAATGTAAAAGTAACTCTTGGCAAAAGAAAGCTGGTTTATTGTTCAGTATCATGCAGTTGCACCATTAATTCAATAATATTAGAGTTTTGCCATATTTGCTATTTAATTATTGAGTAGATCAGAAGCTTAAAGAAAAGTTGATGATAATAAAAAGGAATTATGTAAATAATTTAATTTCGGACACGACATTGTCCAGACTATTTGCTACCATTTCTAATCGTTATGTAAGTTTATAACACTACATGAGATTTCTTGCAGTATCACAGGGTCTCATATTGAACTCCCAAACATGCCTATATCTATGTTTAAAGATATGAAGGCCTGAAAGTCAGAATCCCATGGGAGATGGTGGGTTTTTTAAGCCACAACAACTATCCCACCTTTCTCACTTGGGGGAAATAGTGTCAGATGCATGGGATACTTTTTTCCATTGTGATTTTTCTCCAAAAAAAAATCCTCATATAAGATATATTCCCCAGATATTGACAATGAGTATTTTCTCCATACAGTCTTTATAACAGTGGATATATCCCAAAGATAATGATAATGATATTTCACTCATCATAATCTATGGGATATATCCGTTGTTTAGGTATGTTTTGGAGAAAATTTGCTCATTGTCAATATTCGTGGAATTTATCCCAACTATACAAATTTGTTGGAGAAAAAATCCCAATGGGAGAAAATATCCCACCTGACACCTTTTCTCGAATTGGAGAAAGGTGGGATATTTGTTAGGACTAAAAAAACATCATTCACACATTTTTTCTTGTTTGTATGTAATCTATGATTGTTTATATTTGTAATTCAATTGTGTAATTGAAGAATGAAAATATCCCGCATTCTCCTATGTGATTTTTACTTTTAGGACGTCATATCTCTAAAAATAGACGTGTTAGTGAGTTCAACATGAGACCCTGTGATACTGCTACGGAATACCACCAAGTGCTATAATTTAGTTTTGAGCATCACAATTAAAAAATATTAGTAAAAAGTCTGGACAATGTCGTGCCCAGAGTTAAACGTCGCACTGTTTATCAAAGCATATACAATGTCCTTTGAAATATATGGATAGATAATGTCAAATATATAGACGTCATTTTCTTTTATAAATATATTTCATAAAACCCTTTCAACTACACTGACAATAATGCAATGAAGGTTCACTGCGTATCTGATAAACATAGGTTTGATAAGTTTATTGACGTAAGGAACGACAAAATTGCATTATCTCCAAGTACGTGAGTGCTTTATTTTGAATGATAAATTATCTTTAATTTTTTGTTCCTCTTAATAAACAGAAAGTAAGATTTCAAGGAAATTTTCTTCGTTTCCTTTCCAAACAGACATTCCTTTAAAAAAAATTAAACACAGGTAAATATTTTAAATTTAACTTATTTGATATGAAATATCTGTATTGATTGTGTTAAATGTATTGTAGTGATTTCGTTTAATAGGGTTCAAAGAACCTCAAACAGATTTGATACGGAAAATACTGCAAGAGAAGTCTAAGAAATGGAGAACAATGGAAAACTTCAACAAAGCAGAGAAAAGCGAAGGAGTTATTCCTCGTTTTTGGATGTTCAAGACGAGAGGGAAAAAGATGTATTTAGGTTCCTGGTGAAAAATAGTGGTTGTATTAGTTTAGAAGAATTTAAGGAAAAATATCCCCCTCTTTCTGATGATTTCGATGATTGGCTCTTAGAGGAAAAGAAAATATTGGCATTCTATAAGATAGGGGACCGGATAATCCACATCATACCTTTCTTAAGAGATGCCACTTTTTGTACGGATCACATTAATTACGTGACGAGATGTGAACTTGAAGATTGCAAACGTTTTCATGTTTGCAGGTACCATCTAAATAGTTATTGCAATTATGGCGCGATGTGCAGGAATGGCCACACGTTTACTGTTGGTAATAACGAGGAAATCAAAAACAAACTCGGCCTGAATGGCTTTAGTGATGGTGAAATTCTTACCATACTGAAATGTAGGTATCCTCAAGTATGCCCAGCAGACCACTGCGAATCCGAAGTTCCCGACGAATGTCCATACTTACATATCTGTTATTTTTTTACTCAAGGTAAATGCAAAGATCCGTCATGTACAAGAGGCCACTCTCTGGAAGATCCTCACAACAAATGGGTTTTGTCTGTGTATGGTATGGAAGAATGGCCTAGTCAAAGACCCGAGATCTTTAAGGCCGCCATTACTCTGCGAAGAAAACGTGAACCGGCTTCTAGTCATTTCAGCTCTTCCTCGGAAGGAAATGGAAGTGAAACCGGAGACAGTCTCCTGGAGGGACTGGTAAAACAAATGAAAGAAGAAAAACGAAAAGAAGACGAAGATTAAGTCGCAGTTCAGAACGAAATATTTGAAAGAATGTGAAAGTCAAGCATATAAATTCAAAATCAATCTGAACATCATGTTTTGCTTATTTGAAGCATTTAGCTCCGATTTTAAAGTCTGTATTTTAAATAACATTTACTCAAACACATTCTACCAATTTTGTAAGCTTTAAATCGAATAAAAACTTAAATTGCAATTATACTGTTTTCTTTTCAGCAGACTTCTTGGTATTGATTTCGATATTTTTTTCTTTAGGCTTTAGATCCTAACATACATGAGACTCATTTCTTTTTATCCTTCCACCACTTGAAAAGCAGGGGTATGTAGTGATAGGATTGTCCGTACTTCTGCCCGTTCGTCCGATACGCTTTGAGACACCCAACTCCCTGTTGTACCTCTGAATGAAATTCAATGATACTTTCACAGAATATTTAGTACATAATGACATTGTGCACCTCTTATTTCATTTTTTGATTGGACACAATTTCAAGTTTCCGAAAATAAAACATGGACACTTCCATTCATTTTATGATATTAAGGGGTACCGATCTCTTATCCGTAACTCCTCCTATTCATGTACCACTGAATAAAATTTTAATGATACTTTCACAGATTGTTTACAACATAGTGCGATTATTCACCTCATATATTACTTTTTCATCTGACACTTATTTCAGTTCTTCCAAAGCAAAACACGGAATTTGCCATTATAATCATATGGGGTGGGGTTTCATTTTGTGAGCTCTTGTATATTGAATTAATTTATTTTGCATGTAGTGGGCGAAAATATGTCAGCACAATTAATGTTACTATTATATATTTATATACATGGTCATTGTCGCCCTTGTTATTTTCGTCTTTGAACACTTGCTAACAATTTTGCTCAGTTTCAAATTCGCCCAGTCACAGTTTTGTTTAAGAAATTATACTGTGTTCTTTGAACTCGTTTCGTTTTAAATTCGCCCACTTGTGACAAGGGCGAAAATAAAACGGGGCGAATTTTTCCCTGTATCCAGTATACACTGGTAAATTTATTTTACGATATTTTCGATAATTTCTCGAACTTTTAATATTTTTCATACCGTGAAGAATTTTTGATATTTTTTCACATTTATTCAATAAATATTTTATGGCATTTTCATTGTGAAGATAACGAGTACTAGTATAACGAGTACTAGTAAGTCGTCGTCACAAAAATAATAAATTGCATGGTTTCAACGAAGGAGTCTTCATCAGATTATTACAAAATATTTTATTATGTTGTCTTTAAACATATCGATAATTATTTTGATAATGATTTGTTTTTGTTTTGATAATTCTACCTTACTATAAAATCAGCTGGACAGTGTTTTTTTTCTTTCTGGAAAATGAGCGATGTAGGTACTTCTCCTCTAGACAGATTTTTATTAGTAATGTCTATTTCTGAACAGAACTTCATGTATTTTAATGAGGAAACTTAATATTGATTACACGATCGCTATCTACTTCCCTCTATACAGAGTAAGGAAGCCTGTTTTGGACTTATCAAAAATACTTGTGAATTCGATATAACGAAGTGTCGAATTTGTAATAACGAATTAAATTCATAGTAACAATTTCTTTGAATTCGTAATTATAATGATTTTAATCGGTATTCAGAAATTGGTTAGATTTTTTATAACGAATTTAAAAAAAAATGTTATAAAGAATTAAATATAATTCGTAAAAACAAATTCTTAGATTTGTTATAACGAATTCAACTCGTTACACCTTATTCGACAAATTGTTATATCAAATTCGTATATACATGTATCTTTCTATTGTCCCTAGGCATGACTGTTGAATTTGTTTAAACGCATTTATTTCGTTTTAACAAAATTTAAAATTTGTTAAAATGAATTTTATTTTTATTAAATTTAAGAATTCATTTTAACGAATTGATTTTGTCTTTCAATTAGTTTTTTTTGAATTCGTTATAATAAACTCAATATTTGTTATAAAAGATTAAATTCATCCTAACGAATTCAAACGAATTGTTAAAACGAGTTTAATTCGTTTTAACAAATTGACAATTCTTTAAATCGAATTAAAAAAACCCTAGCGTCGCAATGTAAGGAGTTGATCCTTACGTCGCGGGTTCCAATCACACTTTAGGACGTAGAGACCTACTGTTCTTCGGATGAGACCTCAAACGAATTCAAAAATATCTTTGATAGGTCCTAAATGGGCTTCAGTATGAATGAGGTTTACCTTTAAATCAATTAACATTGCACGTACCGGTATTTTTATCAGAAGACCAAACCGAAAGTTTATTCTCTGAAAACCACTTGGTTTTTACCGACAAAACCTTTTTTTTAATCGTTTGTGAATACCTGAAAAAACGAAAGATTGAATGAGGAATTATACATAATGCAGGTAATTTTAATAACCTGTGATTTGTGTCGTTTTTACAACTAAAAATACTGACTTCTAGCAATTGAAAATGGCACGCACTGACTTTAAACTTAAAGAAATGACTTTGGTGAAAGGTTAATCACAATTTGAAATGTTTTAAGGAGGTTGGTTCCTGTTATCAAAAGTATTGAGAATTTTTAGTCAAGTTTGCTTTTAGTTGTTGTATTTGTATAATATTTAGATTAGAAGATCAGTGCGCTTCTTTAAGCACTACAGAGCAATAAATATGACCTTTTTGCACTACAATTCAGTCTAACACATAAATCAATTTTCAAAGTTTTTTCCTTCAATATTTTTTATCCAAATGAATTATAGGATCAAACGCAATTTCTTTTCACATGAAAATTGTATCAACAAAAATAGTTTCAAATTACTTCGCACAATCAATTATTTGACCTTTCTGCACTCAAAAAATGTTATTTTTCTGGTGTTAAAAATCTATACAGCAATAAAATGATTTGAAAGTAATGACATTTTAAAAGAGTTGTTAAAATTATCTTATATATTCAGAAAATTCAACAAAGTAGGGGTCTGTGATGATAATTTTTAGATATTACTTTAAACAGAGGTCCAGACAAAAATCTGCTGGAAAGCCGAGGAGCGAATCTCATTAATATAGAATGCCACAGTGCAGTGATGATCTCGGCCTGGTTTCAGCTCCAAGGGTACCGATGGACCCCACCAGGGACGAGATCAAAACAGTGGTGTAATGTTTAGACATCTAAGACATCGAATAAGGACATTCAAGAATAAGGCAAAATTTGAAAGCGGAGTATATCATTCGATTTCGGATTATACAAACTAAGAATTCGAAGTGTGAGAAATCTAATAGAAAAATGAATACGTACCGAGGAAGAGGAGGATATGGAATCGAATCAATGACGGTTTATCACAGTGGGATCAACGAAAATTTTCTTGACAAAGCAATTGAAAGGTCAAGAGGAAGAGAATTTAAACGTAGAGGAAGACGAACAGGGTTTTATGACTCAGAAGAGGAATGCATCGAGAGCGAGGAAGAATTACCTACAGGTGACATCACAGATCAGTTTGGGAAAATGGATTGCAAAACTTCTGGTGTACAAAGAAATTATGTTTCTGGACGTCAAGACAAAAGTACAAGGAAAGAAATAGAATATTCCATAGAAAATGTACATGCTAGCTATGATCTCTCCGAAGAAGGTGTGTTCAAATTCCTTGTCAAAAGAACGGGTGGTTTATCTAGTGTATCAAGTTTCAGAGAAGAATATTTCCATTTACCAGTAAACTTTACTGAATGGTTGTTGAAATGCAAAGAAAAACTTACTGTTTATAAAAGAGAACAAGAGCCTAAGTGCATCGGGCCCTTTTATAAGAATGCAACTTTGTGCTTCCATCACACTGGAATCGGAAATGTAAAGGAATGCAGTCGAGTAAATTGCTGTCATTTTCACATTTGTAAATTCTATCTCAATGGATTCTGCAAAAATGGCAATAGATGTAAGAGGGAGCACGATTTTACAAACGAACACAATAGAAAGATAAAGGAAAAACTCGGGCTCGAGGATTTTAATGACAAAGAAATCAGAGTCATACTTTTATGTAGGTACCCACAGGTTTGCCGTGCCCGAACATGCTTGGCAGGGGAAGATTGTCCGTATCTTCACATTTGTTACAATTTTATATCAAATAGATGTGAAGATTCGGAGTGCGAAAGAGGACACTCATTCGAGACGCCACATAACAGATGGGTTCTTTCCGTGTACAAAATGGAGAGATGGCCACGAGAAAAGTTGTACCTGCTCAGGTTGTTGATAAACATGCCAAGAAATCAACTAAGCGTGACTTATCATCTCCAACCTCCACCAATGCATCCCATGTTAATAGACACTGAAACATATAAAGAGGTAGAACGCATGGATTGCAATTATGAAATAAAAGCACAGCTTATTGAAAATGAGCAAAAACCATTAGGATATATCACAGAAAATAGAGAAGAAAGAAAATATCTTCCTCCTAGTAGGATCCCTACCACGTCATATCTTTTCTCAGGTAAAGTAAAGAGGAAAGTTCTTCACCGTACCCACTTCAACACTTGTTTTACTGAATTTTTGAAAACAAAAGGATAAATTGGTACAAATCAAACAAAAAATCAATTAAAACTTTGTGGGTAGCTTTGAGTGAGTATTTTAATTTTCTGTTGAAATTATAGGGATATAATATTTACAAACAAGAAATATTACATAATGTTCATATTCTTTGCATTCTAGCAAAAGACCTTTCAGAATCCAGGAGTGAACTGGATGCAGATGCTGACAAACAGTACATTTGTTTGAATGCTTTGACAGGAAGTTGTCAATGGAGAGGTTGTAAAAAACACCACACACGGCTACCCTACCTCTGGCAGATCCGTATGTATGGAGAGTGGGTCAGCTTTGATGACGAAGAAAACCAAAAACTTGAACAAAGTTACAGCAGTTTGGAAGACAGTGCTGATGGAAAGGTTTTTTTTTTTAAAAAGAAAAGTTGATTAATAGGAATCATTCTCTTATCCAAAAACATATTTCCTGAATGCATGCAACTGCTTTGAATATGATACAAAGAAAAAAAAAACACCGAATGCATTTTTTATTTTATAATACATGTATATTGCGATGTTTACAGTTACCTTTTCCGGAAAACACAGAGAAGATTACTCTGTACTTCAGAAAGGAATACGGTGTCACTGACATGGCTGGAAAGTCAATTAAGGTACCATACAGACGACTCACCACTGTATCATTTGCTGAAGAGGACATTCCACTTAAAATAGGTACCTTCCACACACAATGGAGGTGGTATTTTAAAAATGACTTTGGACAGTGGACTCAGTATGAAACGGTAAATCAATATGAAAAATGTATTTTGATGGTAATCCTGAATTTCAAGAATCGAAGATAGCATAAATTTAAAGTTAAATAAATGAGTTGTCGGAGCAAGCTTTGAATACCAGTAGAATTGTGAAAATTATTGCATCACTAGATTATGGCCAACTAGCACGTGGTTGTGGAAACTAAAGCTACTCTGCATTCGTATTAATTTTAATCTATTTGTTAAATATGTTTTTTTACAGAAGAAAACCTCATCCCGAAGTTTGAGAAATGTATTACCATTCTCTGTTTAAGAAATAAAGACTGCGTTTTCGTGAATGTTGCAGAATAACCTCCGAGATCGAAAATTGTTGTTTGAAAGATAAAAGCCGAGGCGGCTTTTATATTTCAAACAACATTTCTCGATTTCGGAGGTTATTCTGCATTATTCACGACAACAAGGACTTGATTTCTATTCTACTAAGCAGTTCTAAAATAGACCGATCGGTAGAAAAACGAATTAGGTCACAATGCTGCGAAGCTGTTCCATTTAGCACCAGAGTGTAAATTTGTTTACCTGTGAATAGAAAGTAGGCGATATCTCAAGAAGTTTTTGCAATTTATTTTTATGTTCATTTTAATCACCCAAACCAAGATTGGTACATGGGGTTCAAATAACGTATATATATTTTATATACAAACTGGTCAGAGGTACATAGTTTCTATATAACAAAAAAAGACATATAAATAAAATAGACAAGAGCGCGATAAAATGAGAGGAAAATATATCAAGGAGGAAAGATTACGACCTATGGACCCGCTTGTCCCTCTTATATTGCCCACCCACCCGATCCGCACCTACTCTTCTCTTTTGCCTTAAGCGGGGAAGGGGGCACAGAATTAGCTCTGAATTAGCTTGTAGTAGATAAATTTATAAGCAAATTAATAAAATATTCCCAAGGATTCATAGCTGGTTATATTTATTTACTTCTTTCATTCCAATTTTTATTATTTTTTAAAGGATCTTTTACAACACACGCTGGAGAAGAAATATATATCAAAGCAAAAAAGTTATCTATTTACCAGAGAGAGCCACAAATTTAAGTACAAGGTAGAGTTTACAGAGCGGAAGCAAATCAATATTGATACCAAGAAGGTTCGCAAAATTCGAAGAAGGCCCATATTTGTGTCTCTAGCTGAAGTACAGTCAAGACAATTGTAAGTAATATCAAACACAATATACAACGTGGAAATTTTACTATTTTATTACCCGATCATGAGCAGTTGCACATCGTGATTTTGACCTGCCGACAGGGGATGCTTACTCCTCCTTGGCACCTGATCCCGTCTTTGATATTTTGCTCTGCTCCCAATAATTAACGTTTCAATGAAGTAGAATAATTTTGAGCTCGATTATTTATTTTTATTATATGTTTGTTATCTTCATATTTTATTACACTTGAAATAAATTCATACATTTTTTTTTTAATTTGTCGTACTTTTAATTTATTTGATAATTATCTATATATTCCTTTTATTATCATTTTAGTCCAAGATTGTTAGATGTTGCCATAGCTGAACCATGTCCAGCTGAATGGGATCCGTTAGACTTAGCACATGATTTTGAATGGGTTGATTTAGAGAGAGACGGCAGAGAGTATAAAACCGTAGAAACTGAATTCTTTTCAACACTCAGAAAGGAAAGATTTCAGATAAACAACGTATTTCGCATACAGAATCTATGCCTATGGAATGAATTCGAAATGTAAATATATTTTAACTTTTACTGTAATCCCTCAGTAACTAGGAGAATTTATGAAATTCTATACAGCTTGAAATCGGATTTAAAATACATTCATGTCATATATAAATCTTTTAACAAATATTGTTCAAGTAATTGGGGGTTTAAAATGAATCTCGGCAAGTTAAAGCTGATACGATAAATTATATGACTGTCAGATTCAAGCAATACTATGCTACTCAGAAAAGAAATTTTTCAAAATTCTTTTATATAAGGAGGAATGTCACAGCAGTATTTTATTTAATAGATCTTTAAATCATACCTTTGAAACTATCGTTTCCGCATTGAGAGATAATATCTCAACATTTGAACGTGTATTACATGGAATCAAATTAGTATTTTTGTTAGATTTAATCAATTTTAATATTTTGATCTTGTTGGGATCAGTTAAATTTTAATTGGTATTCGCCAAAATTAAAATTAAAAATTCTCTGATATTTCGCAATTTCATTTCAATTTAAAGAAGTGATTGTCTAACATATCCTTTGTTAGTTTCACATGTTTTTAGATCACCTGAGCCGAAGGCTCAAGTGAGCTTTTCTGATCAAAATTTGTCCATTGTCTGTCGTTGTCGTAGTCGTTGTCGTCGTCGTTGTCGTAAACTTTTCACATTTTCATCTTCTCAAGAACCACTGGGCCAATTTCAACCAAACTTGCTACAAAGTATCCTTGGGTAAAGGGGATTCAAGTTTGTTCAAATGAAGGGCCACGCCCTTTTCAAAGGGGAGATAATTATGAATTAGAGAAAAATTAATGGCATTTTAAAAAAAATCTTCTTCTCAAGAACCACTGCATGGACCAGGAAAGATGAAACTCATGTGAAATCATCCTCAGGTAGTGTAGATTCTAGTTTGATCAAATCATGACCTCCGGGGCTAGGGTGGGGCCAAAATGGCCGACCCAAGTTTTACATAGGAATATATAGGAAAAATCTTTAAAAATCTTCTTCTCAAGAACTACTGGACCAGGAAAGATGAAACTCATGTGGAGTTATCCTCAGGTAGTGTAGATTCAAGTTTGTTCAAATCATGACCCCCAGGGCTAGGGTGGGGCCAAAATGGCTGACCCAAGTTTTACATAGGAATATATAGGAAAAATCTTCTTCTAAAAGTCTAAAAATCTATAAAAATCATCTTCTCAAGAACTACTGGACCAGGAAAGATCAAACTCATGTGGAGGTATCCTCAGGTAGTGTAGATTCAAGTTTGTTCAAATCATGACCCCCGGGGCTAGGGTGGGGCCAGAATGGCTGACCCAAGTTTTACATTCAATTTGGTATATATATAGGAAAAATCTTTAAAAAATCTTCTTCTCAAGAACCACTGGACCAGGAAAGATGAAACTCATGTGAAATCATCCTCAGGTAGTGTAGATTCTAGTTTCTTCAAAGCATTACCCATGGGGCTAGGGTGGGCCAAAATGGCTGACCCAAGTTTTACATCGGAAGATGTAGGAACAATCTTTAAAAATCTTCTCAAGAACCACTGGGCCAGGAAAGATAAAACTCATGTGTAATCATCGTCAGGTAGTGTAGATTAAAGTTTGTTCAAATCATGACCCTTGGGGCTAAGGTGGGGCCAAAATGGTTTACCCAAGTTTTACATAGGAATATATAGGAAAAATTTTTAAAAATCTTCTCAAGAACCACTGGGCCAGGAAGGATGAAACTCATGTGGAATTATTTTCAGGTTGTGTAGATTTAAGTTTGTTCAAATCATGACCCCCGGGACTAGGGTGGGGCCAAAATGACCAACCCAAGTTTTACATAGGGATACCTTATAAAATCTTCTTTTCAAGTACTTCAAAGCCATGATTAGTGATATTTATATGGAATCATCCTCAGGTAGTGTAGATTTTAGTTTGTTCAAATTATGAACCCCTGGGGGGGATTCAAGCCCCCCACCTCAGTAAACTTTCAGTTCTGATCTGATATGTGCTTTTTCCTAGCTGATGTGCTCAGGTGAGCGCTGTGGCCCCTGGGCCTCTTGTTTTAATATATTATCCATACGCTTTGAAAATATTCACAAACAAGGTGTTATATTTTCAAAAAAAAAAATTTAAATTAGTCAAAAATTGAATGTCTATCTGCCTTTAAAAAAAATTCACATATATGATACGTTCATTTTTTTTAAACCTAAAGCGTCTTATATGAAAATAAAACTTTTTTCATTTACTGTAAATAAATGAAAAATAATCTGATAAAATATTTAAGTGCTAACAATAATCTTTCAATGCTGAAACCATCATATTTTAACAGTGATGGCTTAAAGATCTATAAAATAAAACTGCCATTCTTCCTTAAAATCGAAGATTTTATTCTAATCCGATGAACAAAATAGTATATATACTTTTTATATCAATTCAATAAAATCGGTTCACTTTAACTTGAAATAGTTTGAAACTAGACGGTATTAATTATTCAATCAATGTGTCATATATTCAAAGAGATCAAAATATCTTTCTTTTCAGGAAGAGGGCAAATATGGAGAAAACTCAATCTATAAAAACTGGAAGCATTGATGAGAGAAGTCTCTTTCATGGTACCGATTCTTTTGACACGTGCTACGGTATCTGTACCAATAATTTTGATTTTCGTTTGAGCGGCAAAAATGCAACAGCGTATGGAAAAGGTTCTTACTTTGCAGTTTCAGCAAAGTACAGCAACGGGTTCACAAAAGGTCCTATTCGTTTAATGTTCAAAGCAAAAGTTTTGATCGGAAACTTCGTTAAGGGAAAACATGACGTAACGTGCCCACCAACTATCCCTGGCAAAGGCCACAAAAGATACGATTCCTGTGTCGATGACGTCACAAATCCTTCTATATTTGTTGTGTTTGATAGAAACCAATGCTACCCAGAGTACCTTATTGCATATAAGGAAATTCCTAAAGACACCTCAGTAGATTTGCCAATACCTTGGAGTAGCATACAAGTAAGTAATTTGAGTGTCACCAGCGTAAACAAATCGGTCCCAACAGCCACCTCAGCACAAAGCAGCGGAAATCGAGGTCCATCTGCAGCCATTCAGAATACAAGAAGCATGCATTCCAGTGGTGTTTCGAAAGTTTCTTCAAGCTCACAAGCAGTTGCTGGATTCTCGACATCTACCCTAACATCATCTCTTGAAAAATCCAATCCTACCAGTGAACAAACACGTTCACTCGGTACTCAGAGAAATACCGGTAATTCCTCTGTGATGAATTCATATAAACCGAGCTTATTAAGTAACAAACAAGCATATACTTCGAGTACCACCAAGGCAAACACTTCAGTGCCACCACCCACATCTGATCATAATAGTAGCTCACGAGGTCAACCTGCTGCCATATATACCACGAATAATATTAATACCGGTAGTGTGTCAACAGTTCCTTCAAATTCACAAGCGGCTTGTATGTCCTCATGGCCCACTTTGTCATCTTCTGCAAGAAATACCAACACTCTCAGTGGCCAAACGAGTTTTTCCACTAGTCACAGCAACAGGTCTTTTCCGGATAGAAATCGGAGAAAAGACTCGTGTAACATTCTTTGAAGATCAGTACATGTATAAGGGAAGCACTGTTATGAAGCACTGATAAGCACTGCAAAGGAAGTCTGGTTATGCCTACTTCGTGAAATGGTCCGGACATATTCTGACAATGCAATCTCTTTCCATCCGTCATGCTGGGTTGTCCAATTTTTTTTTTTGGTTGTTTGAGAATTCTTTTATGGATGAACTGGAGATGGTTTACAGATTACTGAGTCGAATGAGTGATTTTAGCAAAGAGATCTACACATAACTTTTAAAAATTCAAATCAATCGAGACGTTTATAATGCCTTTACGTATTGTGCTGATTTGTTAATTTGTTACTTGTGTGTTTTAGGGCATCTGAGTTACTATGTGAAATAACCAATTGTTAGATCTTTTTGGGAGTTGAACTATGTTCAATCTCCCATGGTCATCACGCATTTAATATGCGCAGTAATTTGTGTTGATTATATAGAGCCGAAAGCGAGGTTACTGTGTCGACCAATTTACTCCGATGATATTCAACAGAAAACATGCATAAACATCCGCAGCAAATAGTTCATGTTATTTTCTCCTGAATTGATCTAATTAATATAATTTGATATGTAATTAAATGTAATAATAAAGTAATCTTATTTTGAATATTAAAATTTCTTTCAAAGTAAAACTAAATTATAAAGAACCACAAAAGTTTTTCGTAATGGAACTCGTTTTTAGTGTAGCGTCATATATAAAAACCGAAAGATACGAACGACAACTCTACATACTGACGGCAAGCGGTAAATCTAGTCTTCCCGATGCCCGACTCCCGACGGTCCCGGATTTTGGATTTTTAGCAATTTCTTTTTTACCGATGCACAGAATTTATAAATTCTAACTTTTCACGAACATTTTCTTGGTTTAAATGAATTCATTAATGCATAAAAACTTAAGGAAACATGCGTATTTGTTACTTAATCAGCAGTATCACCTGCCCAAAAGCGGTAAATCTAGTACTCTATTATAAATGTTAAAACCAAAAACGGACACCGATGTTTTCGTAGAATCGCGATTAAAAACAACAAAATGAAGTATATATATATATATTTTTTTTTAATAGAAGGAAAACTTCATTTACATACCAGATAATATATACGCACACAAACTCTCACATATACCACTGTTTTTATGTTTGGTCATTTTAAAAATGTTTGTTTTTTACTTTGTATTGATTTTTTCTTCACAATATTGATAAATTTAAGTTCTGACATACTCCATGTATAATGTTCCTGTAACTGAAATACATTTATATTCACAGATAAGTTTTATATAACAAACCTGTTAGCTCTTAAAAGGATGCTGTGTGGAAATCCACATTTTAACAACATTGATATTATTTCTGTGAAACTGAAATGTTCATAACACATGGGTAAAGGTGCTAAGGAAAAATATATTACAAATTTGAAGATGAACTAGAGGTACTGTGAGCAGTGAATTATATAAATGACCAACCGCCTCTAATATGAACATAATGGCAATGTCCATGGTAAACGTTAATAAATGGACAGAATTAAGTGAAAATACATTATGGATTCTTAGCTTTTTTTTTAAACATAAAAAATACCAACCTTCTAATTGGTCATATTTTATTTGCATACTATTATTTTGCTAAAACATTCTAATTGTACCCAGCAGGGCTCAAAAAATGATATAAAATAGGTTTCAATTTTCGATTAACATTATCTCCATGGTGTGTTTTTATTTTATCCAGGAGGAATCTTTGTTGACGAATAAAATTCTTCACAGCATTGAGGTCAATAGTAAAATATAGACGTAATTATCATTTTTTAGGGTTAGATGTTCATTTTTTCGCCCGCGAGGCGCAGTGGTTTAAGCGTTTTCTCTAGAATCGCGGAGTAGGGAGTTAATTCATTCGTCGCGTGTTACATTGCAGGACGTGGAGACTGGTCCTCCTGATGAGACAATGTAAAGTGATGTTCCCTGTCACAGTAAGTGCTGTCAAGAAAACGATTCCTCACTGCTCAATTGCCGCGTGTGCCGAATATAGGTCTAAATTTACAGCCCTCCATAGGCAAAACGTTACCTCACTATATAAATTCAAAATTCTAGAGGGGGCTGACGTTAAACACCCTCCCCTCTAAAATGCAATGTTTGAAATGATTTTAGTAGCTCGTATCTGCAACAAATTTAAGACGGCACTCTGGGCCATTGAGCAGTTAGGAATCTTTTTTCGTGTCAACGCCTACTGCGACAAGGGACATCGGTTTATAGGTTCCATCCGAAGTATACCAGTCTCCACATCCCGCAGTGGATTTGAACCCACGGTGCAAGGATCAGCTTCTTACTTCGCGAACAATTCGCATTGAACACAGTTTAAATTTTTTCTTTTCATTATCATTAAGTGACATGAAACAATGACACCCCCCTAAAAATTATAAAGTAGAAAAAAAGTAGAACAGTAACTCCAAAATAATTTCACAATTCATAATGAAAGACCATTTTTTTTAAAAAAAAAAACATAGCTGGAGCACAGGCACTTGTTTCGGAAATAAATTTTTAACCCATGGTATAATTATAACACAAGGTATCTAACTCTGAATTACACTCGGTACCCCCCTCCTCAGAAACGCACTCATTTACAATGTCAGAGGAAATGTAATGACAAAGTGTTTAATATCATTGTCTTCCATGATAACTTATCTACACAACCATATACGGCATGCATGTCTTTGTTTTCGTTTAGACAGCGTCAACTCTGCTCGCCGAGTGGAAAAGTCGAACTAAACCACGAAATGGTATTTGCCAATCTCGGACAAAGAAGAAAATTTAAAAATTAGTGCGTTAAGAAATACAATTCCAGATTTGAAATATTGCATTGAATAAATAGAATTTGATTAAGTCTCATTTTCCATAAAAACACTACGACATTTTTTCGATGTAATTTTAGAAGCAGATTTTTAGCCATTCAAAATCTCGGTGCGGGATTAGCACGTCATACCGTTTCGTGGTTTAGTTCGACTTTTCCATTTAGCAAGCAGTGTTTTGACCCTGTTTACGGAGATAAACGAAAACATAGACATGCATGCCACATATGGTGCCTGTGAGCTGGATATACATGTATATTATACATTTTTAGCTCCCCTGAGACGAAGGCTTAAGTGAGCTTTTCTGATCAAAATTTGTCCGTTGTCTGTCGTCGTCATTGTCGTTGTTGTTGTCGTAAACTTTTCACATTTTCATTTTCTCCTCAAGAACCACCAAACCAATATCAACCAAACTTGCCACAAAGTATCCTTGGGTAAAGGGGATTCAAGTGTAATGAAATTTTAACTTAAACTTCAATTCTCATATATCAAATATTTGTAAGAAAGCAGCTAGACAATTAAATGTCTTAAAACGTGTCGGGAAACATCTTTGTAAACTGGGTAAACTTATCACTCCTTTATAATGTCCAACTTTAGTTATTGTCCTCTGGTGTGGCATTTTAGCAGTGATCAAAACTGCAAAAAAAAAATAGAAAAAATTCAAGAGCGAGCACTAAGATTCATATATAATGACTACACAAGCAGTTATGAGCATCTGTACGAAACTGTAAAACCTGTGACATTTTGATAACTGACACTTCTTTCACCAGTAATGTTACTGGACAGAGCTTCTATACCAAAACTTGGGAAAATCTGAACTGCAAATCTTCTAATGTTGTCTATGGAATAGAATGTAATCTGTGTGGACTTATTTGTGTCGGTGAAACCAAGGGATCGCTTAACAAAAGAATATCAGGTCATCGATTTCAAATAAATCATGGTGGTCAGCAGCTTTTATATAAACATTTTAATTCACCTGATCATTCTATTTTATCAATGAAAGTTAGAATTCTGGAAAAGATTTATCACCACACAAATAGTCCATCTTTGAGTACACCTTTCCGTAGACAACGTGAAGAAGTTTGGATTAGGAAACTAGGGACAGCCTTTCCCTATGGATGTAATGACAATGTCGATAGTGTAGGAAATCTAACAAGCCCACAGTGTAATAATGTAAATGTGATGGGACTTTTTAACAATACTCAGAGACGTAAGCGTAGTCATGGACATCGTTCGTACAATAAACCTGCAATACACGACGTCTCTTTTGATTCATTACTACCTTATGTAAATCAACAGTTAGGTCTACATCATATTCGAACCAAACTTTACTCTGTCCCTTTGAAACTTTTAAATAGTCTTCTTGAAAAGACCAAGGAACATCCAAATTTAGATTCCTCGACACCTGAATATAGGCTCGGTTCTGTGATTATGGATATTGCACATCATAGGCTTTTTAAATCCGCACGTTTCACGGAAGAAAATGCAGCTAAAACAATCCGTCTTTTCCTTAAACTTCAATATGCCAATAAAGGAATTGACGCGGTAAATATTAGTAATATTCTTAATCACAAAAGGGTCCAGTCTTATATTCCACCATATTTCAAGTTAAAGACTACGCCTTGTATTTCCTACAAATATACATCGACCATTGCTTCCAAACTTTTCAATTACAAAAATACTTTACATGGCCTGGATATCGACTATCTGAAAAATAATCCTCTTTCGTGTTCATGTTCTTCTTCGCCCTATAACTATAGTCCTGCTGGACACGTTATTACAGGTGACGTAAATATAGTTCGTAATGAGGACCTTAGATCACTTATTTTAAAAGGTCCTAAATATAGGGAACCCCGATCCTTCAACTGGCGTCGGAATTTCATAAATTGAAGTTGAAATTTACGCCAGACGATAGGCTAGATATGAAAAAGAAGACATTGACACCTTGTCAGAATGGATTAAATGTATCAGATCCATGTTAAAGTCACGTATTAAAAGATTGAGGGGCAAAATGAAAACTATCTATCCTTCTGTGTTCAATAAACCAGAAGTGAAAAAAGAATTAGATAGATTACACGATCAGTACGTACTGGTTCCTGCCGACAAAGCAGGTAACAACATTGTCTTCGTTTGTAAGGCTCATTATATTAATTGCATTTTAGAAGAACTTGGATTTAATTCTACGAGTGGTAATCCTACTTATACATATACTACTCTTTCTAAGGAAGAAATCCTTCAAAATCACCTGTCAGTTTTGAATACTTTTAATATTCCACAGAGCCAAAATGAATTTGAACTACCTTATATATATTGGATTCCGAAACTTCATAAGAATCCTTACAAACAAAGATACATTGCAGGTTCCAGTAAATGTTCAACCAAGCCTCTTTCGTTACTTCTCACTAAAATATTGACAGTAGTGAAGGAAAAACTTCAAGAGTACTGTACAACTATATATTCAAGAAGTGGTGTAAATCAGATGTGGATACTTAAAAATTCTAAAGAACTTTTGGACAATTTG